ATATTATATATATATATAGATAGATAAATACGAACAGAATTAGATATATACATATATAGAGAGACAGATACAAACGGAATTAGATAAATATAGACAAATACGAACAGAATTAAATACATAGATACGAACAGAATTATAGATCGATAGACAGATACGAAAAGGCTTAGAGAGATAGATAATAACAGTATTACGCACACACACATACATATAGATATAGATAGATACATAGATATGAACAAACTGATATCGATAGATAGATAGATAGATAGATAGATAGATAGATAGATAGATACATAGATACATAGATATGAACAAACTGATAAAAAATAGATAGATAATAGATAGATAGATATATAGATATATATATAGATATATATATATGAACAAGATATAAGATAGATAGATAGATAGATAGAACAGAATGAATAGATAGATGACATGAGAGATGAACAAAATGATATAAATAAATAGAGGATAAATAGATAGAATTAGATCAATAGATAGATAGATAGATGAACAGACTCAGATAGATGATACAAACAGAAAAACAGATGATAAGAATAGTATATATACACAGACAGATATATATATAATAGAGAGAGAGATAGAAAAGAGATAGATAGAATAGAATAGATGCTTAGATAGATAGATAGAGATGGAATTAGATAAATAAATAGGAGATAAAAGGCAGCGATTAGACGATCATAGATAGATAGATAGATAGATAGATAGATAGATAGATAGATATATATATATGAACAATCTCAGATAAATAGCCAGATATAAGCAGAATCAGATAGAGCGATATATGTGGACAGAATTAGACAGATTGATACAAACAGAATTAAACAGATAGATAAGAACAGTATTATACACACACACACATAAACACACACACACACACACACACACACACACACACACATATATATATATATATATATATATATAAAGATAGATAGATAGATATGAACAGAATTAGATATATACATAGAGAGAGTTAGATAAATATATAGATAGATAAATACAAACAGAATTAGCCAGATAGATAGATAGATAGATAGATAGATAGAGAATGAACAGCATGAGACACACAGATATGAATATAATAGATATATCAATAGAGAGATGTGAACTGAAATAGATAGATAGATAGATAGATAGATAGATAGATAGATAGATAGATAATCAATGAAACCTTGTGCAAAAATCATAACGGACCCCCGAATACAGAAGTACGTGACCTGACACATGACTCTGATTTGCAGGCACGGTAAAGGTTTTGTAATGCACATTCTCCCAGGTCGCCTTAGTCTTCTCACTTTCTCGCCATCTTCTGTCTTTGTGAATCCTGTTTTTTTATTATTATTATTATTATTATTGTCATTTCCAAGCACTTCGGTTATCGTTCGGTTCAGATTGGTCTCCGGTCTTTTGAACAGGACCCTTGATTCCTGATTAGGACTGGATTTCCAGATTTTGTAGTCTTTACATTGTCTTTCCTTCCCTGTATCCCCTTGCATGCCAGTGGCTTTATATGTGTGTTTTCTTAGGGTCTTTTGCTTATATATCTATATATATATATATATATATATATATATATATATATATATAATTTTATAAGTTTTATAATTAAATTGAAGTTTTTAGCTCCTGTTTTTGAAACATAAGAACTCTTATGTAGCGATGGGACATATTTTTTAAAATAATTATAATATATATATATATATATATATATATATAAGGAAGAGGTTATAGTAGTTCTAACGAGAGAAAAGTGTTTATATTAAAAGCAAGAGAGAAACCGCAAACGTTTTTGGTTGTAATGTGGATTTTAAAAAAAAATATTATGCTTTATTTTCCATAATTTCACTACACGCGTTTCTGGTCTCGCGACCATCATCAGGCGAAGGGTGGAGATTTCCACATATTAATAAAAATAATTAATTTTTTCTATTATGTTTTTCGATGTTAAATATTCTCGATATGAGACATTCTCTTTTTCTGTGTCAGTGACCAAAATGTCTTTCTTGAACTGGCAGTGAAGGGTTCTGCGTGAAGTGTTATAAAACAATTAAGATTGTTCAGGAGAAATGGAGTAGTTATCGGCATTCTTATCTTTTAATGACCCCTGTGTGTTCTTTCCATTTTTTGTGTGTTTCTGTCAGCATGGTGCAGTGAACTCCTCAGCAAATTATAATGGCATCCACATAGGTCATTTGTTCAGACGATCGAACCATGCATGATGTGTATATATATATATATCATTTGCCGCCAACCGTGTCCGGTCTGCTTAGTACTTCCTTAACAGATATATACGGAAATTGCGTGCGCAACAGTGATAAAGCAGACGCAAGTGGACAGTTTATAGTAAGTGTGTCCCTTCGGATTCAAAGTGGCAATGCAAAGAAGAAATGAACTGAAAAAGGAAACCCAAGCATTGTTAGCAATTCCTGTCGACTCCATTCATTCAGCAATTCTATTTTCATTCATATTTTCGTACATAAAACTTTATCTCTTGGGCTCGTTTATTTTAACATCTAGATGTTGGTGACTAGCGTCTCGCGAATGGGACATCGAAATGCCGAGTTCAAATTTCCCTTGGATTTGTTACATTCACTTACTCGCAGTTATACTTGGGAAAGGTATGAATCTATTTAATTCCCCACCTAGCTATGGGTTAAATAGTACAACTTATATGTGAAATAGTATTTTTATTTCAGAAAAAAAATTCTTAAAGAAATATTCAATCCAACATTCGGAAATAACTTTCGGTTTTAAATAACCCACAAATGGGCTGTTAGGCCGTATAAATAATCGATAATTTAATCGAATAAATTAATTTTATACTCTAACCGAAATTACTAATGAATTAAGAAATCCGAATAATTGTACACTATTACTATTTACTTATAAACTATTAATTTTAGTAATTTACGTGTTTTTATTAGACGTTTAGATTCACAAAAACTCGACTACTTATATATGCTGGTCAATAGTGCATTATGGGGAGGCCTGTTGTATTATTTTAAAGGTTAATGGATGGGCGGTAACGGTTGTTTCAAATTAATTTCGGGGCCATTGGGTAGGAATAAGTGTCTCCATGTCCTTGTGGGTGATGAAATATTAATGTTTTGAAATCTCTCTCTCAGAAAGAAGAGATATCTTAAATCTCCTATTCTATTATTTCCATGGCAAGTGCTCGGTCGAACTACATTCTTTAGTTCCACCAGTTCTAAATTTTACGGCACTGACCGCCATGCTACGCACATTGTAGCGAAGCACTCTCATTCTCTCCGTATTCCATTGGTCCACCCAAGCAGGATATATATATATGCTAGCTGTATAACCCCTCTTCGAGCGGGTCTTTCATTACTGAAAATTTTTGTAAAAAAGTTGGAGCAGTTTAAGTTTTAAACAAACGTTAAAAAAAAAATATTATTTTTATTTTCCATAATTTTTGTTACACGTGTTTTTGGTCTCGCGACCGTCATCTGGCAAATTGTGGAATTTCCATATTATTAAAAAAAAATAATTAATTTTTTTCTTGATGTTTTTCGATGTTAAATATTCTCGATATGAGACATTCTCGTTTTTGTGTTAGTGATCCAAATGTCTTTCTTGAAGTGGCAGTGACAAGTTCTGCGTGAAGGGTTATAAAGCAATTAAGATTGGTTCGAGAAATGATGGAGTAGTTTTCGGCATTCTTATCTT